TCTTCTGCCTCCTGATGTTAGTCAAGGCGTAGTAGTCTCGGACAGCCTGGACCTGAGCCTCGTGTCGTGTGTTCTGAAGTAGGCGCTTGCACTCGGCTTCGAGAACCATAGCTGCGTCTGCCTCGTGTTCCTGAAGACACATGTAGAAGGTCTGCAATCAAACAAGACAACACCGATCATTAGTACAATCACTAGGTACTGTTGATTTTTATTTCTGTAAAGGAGAACTTACCCAAAACCGCCATCTCACAATGTCGGCCACCGTCTCGCACACGACATCGTCGACCATCTCCCCCGGCGGGGCCGAGGCAGCCTGGTACAGCTCCCAGGTGAGTGCTAGCTGTGGAATCTCACCCTCACCGGGCAACGTGACCCACCCCGGGAAGTGGTGCCGTACTAGAGTGCCAAAGACCTGGTTGGGCCTGCGGACACCATTTGCGTGTACCCAACCCCTGCAGTATGACAAGGCCAACACATTAGATATTAATTTGAACAAACATGAAGGCAAAAGGTCAAAAAAGAATAAATTAATGCACTTACTTCTCCCCGTTAGGCTGAATCAACCACCTCTGGTCGCGGGTCACCGGCACGGACGGTAGCTTAGTACCACCATGCTGGTAGACCATCTTGCCCTCCTCAACCCACTCGCTCTCGCTGTAGCTATCCTCAGATAAGGTCTCCTCGAGATCATCATCATGGTTGCTAGTCTCTGGAGTCACGTGTGACGAAGACTCTGGTACCCTAGTCTCCTGGGAGGAAGATTGTGGGACCCGAATCTCCTGGGAAGAAGACACTGGGACCCGAGGCTCGGCGACCAGAGGCTCGTCGACCCGTGGCTCGGCGACTAGAGGCTCGTCGTCCCGAGGCTCATGAATCGGAGTCTGGCACGGGTCCAGGCCAGACGGATCCACCTAAGACGGAGCACTCCGGTGGTCCGGACACTCAACGGGGGGTGGCGGCGAGGAAGGCAGAACAAAATTCTTACCTCTGCGAGCGCCCCGTCCACCTCTACCTGCACCCCTCTTCTTCCCCCGACCTCCTCTCCCGGCCGAAGAAGAAGCGCCGGCCGAAGGTGCTGGGGGTGTGTGCATGTTGTCTACCAGTGCCCTCCGAAGGTTCTAGGGTGGAATAACAACACCCCTCCCACGCGCCGAGGTAGGAGGCTCGGAGCGCTCTCGACCCAAGCCCACCATCTGTCAACACCTGCAATGAGAAAGAGCAAACGAAATAAGTACAACATAAACATAATAAAAAAATTAGTGTGTATCATCATCATGAACATAATAAAAAAAGGGGTGTCGTGTCGGGGGTCAGGGCGTCGGGGGTGTCGTGTCGGGGTGATGTGTCGGGGTCAGGGTGCCCCTCGGCAACCCTCAACCATCGGCAACCCGCGGGGGTCAGGGTGTCGTGTCGGGGTGTCGGTGGTGTCGTGTCGAGGGTCAAGGGGTTGGGGTGTCAGGGTGTCGTGTCGAGGGTCGAGGGGTCGGGGTGTCGGGGTGTCGTGGTCGAGGGTCGAGGGGTCGGAGCTGGAACCATCTCTACAAAACTCAAATCAGGCATCTTATCCTAATAGTTTGGCTATATATGTCAGCAAATGAAATTCAAGGAACTAAGCCAACAAAATGGAGTTTCAACAGGGTAATTTAACTATAGCATTGATCACCGTTGACAATTCAATGGTGCTGTCTGGGGTACGCCGAGCGCTGCAAAGCTGAATCATCGATGATGTCGGCATCTTCCCTGCTTGCTCCTGAATCTTGCAAACCCATGGCCCTCGTGTAGAGATATGTAACCCATCATTTATGATATATGTGAAAGGGATCAGTGGCATAGTTGAAGCTCTAGCATGTTTAAGTTTCAAGTAAACCTATTCAGAATTAATTAGCTATGGAAAAGAAAACATATTAGCGAGGAAGCATGAATCATGTCTAAGGGATAGGAAAATGGCATCGATAATCTTCCACATAAATCATGCTTCCTATAGGAAAATGCCACAATACCATGGGAAGTTACAGAAACAAACTGAGAAGCTGAGTGCATGTCTAAGAGATAGGAAAATGGAATGCAAGAGAGTGGCACTTCGGTTTCTTTAGGCTGTTCAGATATGTTCTCTCTTGCAGAGAAACTTGTATTGGTTTTGAGGCAGCAAGGTTCTCTTGCTTATGGGTTTCCTGCCCAAGTTAGTATTGCTGTTTGTTTCAAATATTCAGTTTGAGGTCTAAATTTCACAAATATATGGCTTTTATTTACGTTCCCTACAACGTACCTATTCATCTGCATCTGAGCAATCATATTTCCATGTGCAAATAAATAAAATTTACTTGTTATTATTCCTCACACGACTGATGAGGTGAGAATGGAAACTTAACCTTCCATAGATCAGCATAATGGAAGCTACTGATTATCCTAGAAACTAACTTGGGCACTCAATTTCTCTGAGATATTCAAAAAATGCATCATAGAAATACAGAAGGACATCAGTAGTGAGGGCAAATAACTGATGATATACGATAAGTCGGTAGTGTCCATGCAAGGGAAACATTATGCAATGAACAATGGACAAAGTTTAAAGCGGTCATTTCTTGTAGCATTTGAACTTGCCCTATTTTTGCAGTGATGCCAATCAGCGCCAAGTAAGAAGCTCATTCATAGGTAACCTAGCAGCTAATTTAAGAGTCTTTTAGCGTTCGAAGAAAGGAAGAGTATGTATATAAGTATATTGTGTTAAATGGGAAAACAAAAGAGATCCTCAACCATAGAATTAATATCAGTCGTAATGATTAAACCTTCTGTTCTATGGGTCTTACTGCAGCATGACAATGACAATAAAATGCTTAATTTATTTTATATCTGCAAACTATGTTGCGCTGGTTTGTAGAATGGATGAACAAATCTTGCAGAATATAGTACTTGCAAAAAAAACATGCGGAGTATAGTTTCTTTTATTGTTCTAATTCTATTATTTTAATTACTAGAAAAATGTACAATGAACCACAATGTACTATGGCAAGTGGGGATTATCAATCGACGAGGCACCAGTGTTCCGGTTCTGCACCCTCTTCGTGCGCGCGCTCCAGTTTATCCCCTGCTTGGCGCCTTCCGTCCCAGACACCCCCGACTTCTACGGCGACGACTGCTTCTTCTTCTGTAATGCCCACGAGTGAGATATGGGTTGCGTTGAGGACTACTACGATGCCTCTCCATCAATGGCACCGATGAGCAACTGCTCGAGCACGTGATGATGAAGGCGAGCGTCAGCTTCAGGAGGGCGGCGGAGGGCAATGCGGAGAAGGCGGATGAATTCATTGCAAAGTTCTGCACATAGATGAACTACATCGCCAAATCTCGGGGCCGCAATACAGAACATGAAGGAGAGGAGCATCTGAGTTGCTCCGAATTCGATTCACTCTTAGATTACTTGCTTATTCTTGAATTTGATTCATTCATGAACATGCCTGTGTGCTGCCCATCTATGTAGCCGCACTTCCAACTTACCATTATATTTTATTTTCAACAACTGTTGCTCCTTACACGTTAACAAATGCAACAGCAGGGTTAGTACGCACAGTAACGCACAGGAGGCGCACCCCTACCAATAGTGTAAAAGCAAGAGTAGAGGGTGCGGCCGCATTGGAAGGCAGCCATGCAACGCTGGTCAAATTCACAAAAGAGAGAATTCCTTATTTATTCTCCAATTGTTGTATTGTGAATTGCTTTTCGGAACATTTACAATCATATGTTCAATTTATATTATAATTCCATTTGGTTTTCTTTGATGAAATCTCTAATTTATGAAGTTATGCAGAATTTAAGAGAGGTGAGCCCTTCGGCATGGAACAGATCCCGTGAACGCGTCCCGTAAAACATTTGCTGGACGGGTGTACGGGACCTGTTCTGCGGAAGAGTTCACGGTACCATAAAAAAGTTTTGTGGGGCGCCCAGTTGCGGGATCTGCTAGAGATGCTCTTATCCTTGATCAATAAAGTCCTACCTTAGCATGACGACTTCCCCAACTGTCTACTACAACAAGGTTTACCAGGTCCGGTAATGAAGGGGCGATGACGGCGGCGTGCTTTCGGCTCGGTCTCGTGCTTATACTCGTCGCTAGGTGGTTCACGGATATAGTTGTAATTTTTGTTGCCTCTGCTGTTCTTTGTATGCGGTGATTGAAGATAAATAGATTGAAAGTTTCTAATAAGAAAAACACTAAAACGCGATTTTTTTTAAGAAAAAACTAATGATTTTTATATGGGTCAAAGTTGCCGACCGCATCCAAGCCTTCTGTTAGCCACATAACGCCGGCCCAACCACAGCGAACAGAGATAAAAGAAAAGGAAAAGAAGAGAACTAGAACGCGATTCGATCCTCTGTCGCTGCCTTGGTCGTCGCCGGCGGCCGAGAGAGTGGCCGGAGATGAAGCCTGTCGGTCCGCGGCCGCTCTTTCCTCCGCCTGGCGATGTCGCCGCCCCCGTCCGCAGCGTACTGCTTCCTTATCATTCGCGAGTTGAGAAAGATGAACAGAGCCGCATCAATCATTGAGTGTCTACAGTTCCGTAGTCGCCCGGAAACTCGGGGTTCTACAGCGATGGGCCAATCCAGAGCCCATGGCAGTCCACTATATCCATCGAGAGATCCCACCCCCACTCCAGTAGCTAGGTTTCCACTCTCCAGGCTCCACTCCATGGCGGCGGCGGCGGCTCTCCTTCCCCTGCCGGCGCGCGGATCTCATTGACGCGCCAAACCGAGGCTGCGCTGGGCTCGCGGTGCGCCGGCGTTACACGGAGATTCAGACGGGTATGAGTTCTGTGCTGCTCATGGTTTGCTTCATTCGTTCTGCTTCATGTTTTGCTCGATTTGCTGATGCTTTGCTCGATCCCTGCTGCAGTTATTTGGTTCTTGTTCTCGTTCGAGCTATTGATGTTTGAGTACTGGCAGCCCAAGCTTCTCCGCAAAGACGGAGCGTGGTGAACCAGTCAGGCCGGGAGCTGAAGCAGGGGACTATGATGGCGCCTGTGGTGACCGCCGCACTGGGTGCTTTGGGTCCTCTGCTAGGGAAGCTCACCGATTTGCTCGCCAACGAGTGCGGCCGACTCAAAGGGGTCCGCCGCGAGATCCGCTACCTCAAGAATGAGCTTGCCGGCATGCATGGTGCGCTGACCAAGTACACCAAGCTAGAGAATCCTGATGAGCAGGTGAAGATATGGGTTTCGCTGGTCAGGGAGTTGTCCTACGATACCGAGGATTGTTTTGACAAGTTCATCCACCAGCTCGGCGAAGGTGGGGGTGATGACGGCGGCTTCAAGGAGTTCTTCCGTCTAAAAACCCTTGGAGCTCGGCGTGGGATCGCCACCAAATCGACGACCTGAAGCTTCGTATCAAGCAAGTCAAAGAGCTGAATGAAAGATTTGGAGAATATTTGCCACACTTGGGCTTTTCCATTACATGTCAATATATAGACAGATTTCCAATCCTAACCATAAATGGGAGATCACAACAATATCGATACTCCTCGATTTAGGGGATTAGGAGATATGTCACGAAACGTGACATATTAGTCTAACACTCCCCCGCAGTCACAACGGGAGGAGAGCGGACGTTGAGACTGGACCGAAAATCCAGAAACAACGGCGACGGGAGGCCCTTTGTCAAGATGTCGGCGAACTGGCGTGACGAGGGAACATGCAGCACACGGACCTGACCCATGGCAACACGATCGCGAACGAAGTGGAGATCGATCTCGATGTGCTTGGTACACTGATGCTGGACGGGGTTCGTGGACATGTAGACGGCGCTGACGTTGTCGCAGAAGACGATCGTCGCAGGAGTAGATGGTCGATGAAGCTCCTGGAGAAGTTGCCGAAGCCAACTCGCCTCAGCCACGGCGTTAGCCACGGCGCGGTACTCGGCTTCAGCGCTCGAGCGTGAGACCGTGTGTTGTCGCTTGGAGGACCAAGAGACGAGATTATCTCCAAGGTAGACACAGAAGCCTGACGTCAAGCGCCGAGTGTCAGGGCAGCCGGCCCAGTCGCCGTCGGTGTAGGCAATCATGGAGTCCGGTGCAGTCAAGTAGAGCTGAAGGCCATGAGAGAGCGTGCCCTTGACGTAGCGCAAGATGCGCTTGATGGCCGCGAGGTGCTGTTCACGCGGGTCGTGCATATGAAGACAAACCTGCTGAACGGCGTACGCGATGTCGGGGCGCGTGAAGGTGAGGTACTGGAGCGCGCCAGCAAGGCTCCGGTACTCCGTGGGATCGGCCACGGAAGAGCCGGCAGTAGCGGCGAGCTTCGGCGAGGTGTCAACCGGTGTCGAGGCCGACTTGCAGGCAGTCATGCCTGCCCTGTCCAGAATCTCCGCGGCGTACTTAGCTTGCGAAAGATGCATGACGGAGGAGTCGCGGGTGACCGCGATGCCGAGGAAGTAGTGAAGGCTGCCCATGTCCATCATGGCAAACTCTGCTCGGAGAGTGGCCGTGATCCTGTCCAACAAGTGGGTCGATGAGGCGGTGAGGACGATGTCGTCCACGTAGAGCAGGAGGAAGGCCGTGCCTTCCGCACACCGGAGAATGAACAACGAGGTGTTCGAGCGGGAGCACACGAAGCCGGTCGAAATGATGAAAGTCGCGAAGCGCTGGTACCACGCACGGGGAGCCTGCTTGAGACCGTATAGGGAACGGTTCAGCCGACAGACGTGCTCGGGGCGACTGGAGTCGATGAAGCCGGTGGGTTGTCGACAGTAGACGACCTCAGCAAGAGTGCCATGTAGAAAGGCGTTCTTGACGTCGAGCTGACGAGTCTCCCAGTTAAGAGAGAGCGCGATGGAGAGGATGACACGCACGGTGGCCAGTTTGACAACCGGGATGAAACTCTCGTCGAAGTCGACACCGGGCTCCTGAGAGAAACCCCGAAGTACCCAACGAGCTTTGTAGCGATCGAGGGAGCCATCGGGCTGGAGCTTGTGGCGAAAAACCCACTTGCCGGAGACGATGTGAGCATCCCGAGGAGGGGGCACAAGATCCCAAGTGTTGTTGCTAAGGAGAGCGCTGTACTCCGCAGTCATAGCATCGAGCCAGTTGGGATCCTTGAGAGCGGCACGGACGGAGGTGGGAACCGGCGAGTACCTGCTGACAGAGGAAACATGCAGGTTAAGCCGCTCGTGAGGACCCTTGCGGATGCCGGAGGTGTTGCGCGTGCGATGAGTGGGTGGGGCGCCTGGTGCGGGAGGAGCATCCGGTGAGGGAGGGGCGGGTGGTGAGGGTGGTGCGGGCGGTGATGGAGGGGTGGGTGGTGGGGAGGGTGGCGGTGTAGGAGGAGGAGTGACAATCGGAAGAGGTGGGACAACGATGGGTAGTGTGTCATCGTCGCCGAGGAAGTCGTATGTGGCTGCGGTGGTGGGCTGTGGGGAGGCAAATGGAAAAGTCATCTCATCGAAGACGACGTGATGAGAGATGATGATGCGGTGGGTAGTGAGGTCCATGCACCGATATCCCTTATGATGAGAGGAATAGCCCAGAAAAACGCAAGCACTCGAGCGCGGCGACAGTTTATGTGGCATGGTGGAGGCGGTATTGGGATAGCATAGGCAGCCGAAGACGCGTAGTGATGAGTAATCAGGATGCTTGCCGTGAAGGGCAAAGTAGGGAGAGGGAGCTGCAATGGTTTTGGTGGGAAGACGGTTAAGAACGTGAGTGGCGGCGTGAAGTGCTTCGACCCAAAAGCGAGGAGGTAAGCTAGCCTGAAATAAGAGAGAACGCACAATGTTATTGACAGTGCGAATAATACGTTCAGCTTTACCGTTTTATTGGGATGTGTATGGGCAAGAAAAACGAATATGAATACCGTGCGTGGCAGCAAGAGAGTGGAGTTTATTGTTGTCGAACTCACGACCATTGTCACATTGTATGGACACGAGAGGTAAGCCAGACTGAGTATGAGTGAACGCACGAAAAGCTGAGAGCGAAGCGTAAGCATCAGATTTTTGGCGAAGTGGAACGGTCCATAGAAAATGTGTGAAATCATCAAGAATGACTAAAAAATATTTATTGCCAACAACACTCAAGATTGGTGAAGTCCAAAGATCACAATGCACTAACTCGAATGGACGAGCGGTACGACTAGTAGAAGCAGAAAAAGGCAGACGTACATGACGATCCTAGTTGACAAGCATGACATAAAGTGGGGGGATTTATTTGTCTAATACAAGGTAGGGAAATATGCTCGGAGAGGCGACGGTAAGCATCATGGCCGGGATGTCCGAGACGACGGTGCCACACGTCATGAGGGGCGGTGAGCGTGGCGAGGGCGCGAGGAGGCGGTGGGCATGTGAATGTGTAGAGCTCCCCCGTACTATTGCACCGAAGGATCTCGCGCCGGGAATGAAGGTCCTTCACAGAGAAGCCAAAGGGGTCAAAAGCGACAATGCAATGATTATCAATAGTGAATTGACGAACGGAAATAAGATTTTTGATAATGCTAGGTGTTACTAAGACATGGCGTAAGTGAAGAGGTCTGTTAGGAAAAAGAGAAGGAAGGGAAGAATGACCGGATGTGGTGACGGGAATGGTGGAACCATCGCCGACCACCACGTGACGATATATAGGATGATGAGAAAGGGAGGATAAGATACCGGCATCGGTGGAAAGGTGGGCGGTCGCGCCGCTGTCCATGACCCACTCGGGAGCGGGCTGCTGCAGCGTCATGTTGGTGAGGTGTTGGGTGAGAGCAGCGGTGTCCCATGATGATGCCGGTGTTGGTGGTGCAGCGTAGGGCAGCGCAGCGCCGTATGGAACGGAGCCGTAACCGCCGTAGTAGGGGCCGGGAGCAGCCGGTGGAGCGGCCATGTAGGCGTGAGCGCGGGGGCCCGGAGCTCGTCCGAGGATGCCGCCAGTGTTGCCGCCGGAGTTGGTGGGGCGGGACTGCATGGGCCACATCTGGATGGCTCCTGTCCAAGGATTGAACGGAGTTGGCATGGGAGGAGCGCCGCCGGCGGACTTGTATCCCTTGTTCTTGCCCTTCCCCTTGCCATAGCCGGTGGCATGAGGATTGTGGGCGGGAGCAGGAGCCCACCATGGGTGGCCGCCGGCCGAACCGGAAGGAGCACCACCGCCGCCTCCAGAGGACGAGCCGCCGCCGCTGGAAGGAGCGGAGACGGGTCCTTTGGCTGCGTAAAAAGCAGAGGCCGAGGTGTTGTTGGAGCGCCGAGAGGCCTTCATCTCGTGGAGCAGCAGCATGTTGCAAAAGTTGAGGAAGGTGGGGAACGGCGTGAGGAAGGGGGCGATGTTGGCGACGGTGTCGAAGCGCTCGTGGAGGCCCTCGATGACGTTGGTGACGAGCTCGGGATCGGAGACGGGCGCACCGACCTCGGCGAGGGCGTCAGCCGCCGTCTTCTGCAGGTGAAGGTACTCGTGTTGGGGAACGTTGCAGAAAATTAAAAATTTTCCTACGGTTTCACCAAGATCCATCTATGAGTTCATCTAAGCAACGAGTCAAGGGAGATGCATCTACATACCACTTTGTAGATCGCGAGCGGAAGCGTTCAAAAGAACGGGGTTGAAGTAGTCGTTCTCGTCGTGATCCTATCACCGGAGATCCTAGCGCCGAACGGACGGCACCTCCGCGTTCAACACATGTACGGAGCGGATGACGTCTCCTCCTTCTTGATCCAGCAAGGGGGAAGGAGAGGTTGATGATGATGGCTCCAGCAGCAGCACAACGGCGTGGTGGTGGTGGAGCAGCAGCACTCCGGCAGGGCTTTGCCAAGCACGTGACGGAGGAGGAAGAGGTGTAGCAGGGGGAGGGGGCGCCAGGACTTCAGGGTGCGGCTGCCCCCTTCCCCCCTCCCTTTATATAGGCCCCCAGGGGGGGGCGCCGGCCCTGGGAGATCCAATCTCCCAAGGGGGCGGCGGCCAAGGGGGGTGGAGTGCCCCCCAAGGCAAGTGGGGCGCCCCCCACCCTAGGGTTTCAACCCTAGGCGCAGGGGGTGGGCCAAGGGGGGCGCACCAGCCCACTATGGGCTGATTCCCCTCCCCACTTCAGCCCTTGGGGCCCTCCGGGATG